TTTTGTAGAAATGAAACGACCGTAGATGGTAACGAACTGTCAAATTTTTATTTTATGCATAGATTAAACATAATATAGTACCCAAAGCCTCTACTAGATGGCGCCACATTTATATTTATTTTGTTAGAATACAACAAAATATTTTATGATATAATGACTGCCTCGTTGGCCGAGTGGTCGCAATTGCGATTGCCGGGCAAGGGGTCTCGGGTTCAATTCCCGGGTCGGGCAAAGTATTACTGGGTTTCAAAAAACATCTCAGTAGTAGCACGGAGTCTAGAATTGTGCCCGGTATATGGCAATAGGCTCACCCCCTATTACATGGGACTCATAACATAAATAGTGAAAAGTGGGTGTTACATTGTACAGTGGCATAATGTGCACTTCTGCCTACCCCTTCGGGGATAAAAGGCATGATGTTATGTTATGTTAAATATTTTATTAATCAGCTTTTAAAATATCGAAATTTCCTTTTAAAATATGCATATTATCGTGACTCATTTGCCAATACTTTATGACTTTACACACGTCATAAATTCGGGCAATAAATAGAGGGATGCTACGTTCTTTAAAAGAAGCACTAGATTTATAGCTAATACAGTATTTGTCTAATATGCAATTTCCCTTAAGTGCAAAATATCTAAATTGATTTTCTTGTACCGTAACTTTAAGGAGCTCAAAGCACACCGTCGTGCATTTGGTTGTGCTCAAACGACATTCCAGGCATTTCATCCCACCAGCTCTCTAAAGCTAAAATGTTAGTACAACTTTAGTAATAAACTCTAAAGTGATAGAACTACATGATCAAAGCAAATCTTCTTTGTTATAATTAGTTATATTATACCTAAGTTTTATAATATTTTTTGAAGCGAGTATTTCAATCAGAAGTAGTATCTAGGTATATCAAAGATCTGATCTGATGTCCAAACCAATATCCTGCCCGCTTCCAATATGTAAATGTGCTTACTATATTCACAAGAAGCTTTTATATGTGATTAGTAAACTGAGTGCGTAATTATACTTTTTGTACCTAAAATGGAAAACATAACATTGTCATATACCAATGTATTTTATTTTCAGTAATTATTTGTTCAGGGAAAAGCTATTTATTTTTTACATATTGTGAAGTGTGGGTAGATATACTTTTATTGATTTCTGATAGGTCGTGGGTCGTTGTGTTATTGATCTTTATGTATTTACATATATCATTAACAATTATTTCAGGCTATTATGGGGACTATAAGCCTCATGGACAACAGAGGGTTTTCCATAATCCCTTTGCATTTTTTTTGGATGGAGAATTTTATCCAGTGACTTCTCCCGCCTTGAGTGATTGGAGAGGGAATGTTAGACTCTTACTGACTAAAAACTACCCTGTTAACGCCGAACCGCGCGCCCACGCATCGCCAGGCGGTGCAGGCCGGCGCGCCTGCGCTAATTCATTCCGCCACTGGCCGACCCAACGGTCACACGCACTTGTGCAGCATCGCTCGCCTCGAGAGTTACACGTGTATGGTGTATCATAGATTTAGCTTGCCTAATTAAAGTGATTTATCTCTCCATACACCGTGTCATCATTTTCAACAACCCTCGTCAACAAGATTCGAGCCGGATACGTCTTTGGAAACCGTTTCGAAGACAAAGCGGAACAAAGAAGTATTGACATTGACGAGGTCATTCGAGAAGAATCGAGACACGAGTTGCCACGCAGTGCATGAAACACGGCGTGAATCATCCAATCTACAAACGACAAAATCAAGAAATACGGTCGTCGCTGTGCTGTATTTTGTAACCACTACAGTTCGAGAAACCAAGATACGGGGTTTGCAGTGTGGTACTTGTGAGTTCGTTCCAATTATTCCGTAATTCGTATTGAATTCCATTCTATTTTTTTCCCATAAATTATTACCTAACAATATCCACGTACGATAATATTTCATGATCGAGCACGTGGATTAATTCAAACAGTGCACATCGCCATGCTAGGATTACTTTCCTTATAAAATACCTTCCGTTAAATCGTAACGGTATTAATTTCCCGATAATATTCCACCTTTCTCAAATTTAACGTAATCTTTGTTATCCACTTTTATACAGAGGTCTCATTTACTGTGTTGTACCAATTATACCAGTGCAGTTTAATCCATTGTACATTTCTAACGATCTTCCTTTTTTTAACATTTCAGCCGAACCGAGGGTCCAAGGTCCACGGCGCTTGGCCTACGTGACCGCGAGGCGGTCGCGCTGTAGCAAACCAAGCCTACCCTCTCTGCTTCGCATTATTTCTGCCGCTACTTGCCTGCTTACCTGCAAATAGTATTTCTTGCCTGCATTTTCGAATTTAAGTATTTCTTCATATAATTCCTTTCACTTCGCTTTCATTTCCTTGCGTATTATAATTGTTGTGGCTTTCAGCTGGGCAGTTTGAGAGTGATTTTATTACATACCTACTTGCATTTACTTATTCGCACAATGGATCTTAAATCATTAAAGAAAACTAGAGCTAGCCATAAAGCAAAGCTTACCATATTTAAATCATATATAGACACATTTTTGCCAAATAAAATTCTGAATAAGGTTCAAGTTTTTGAGATAACAGCTCGCTTAAATAAAATACAAGATTTGTACAACGAGTTTGACTCTGTTCAGACTGATATAGAAGGTATTGTGGAAATTCCAGGTGACGAGCACAAAGAACGGGAAATATTCGAAACCAGCTACTTCGGTTGCGTGGCTGTTGCGCAGGAGCTGCTCAACGCTGCCTCTGCGGGGCAGGAGACCGGATCGGTGGCGAGTTCTAGTGACAAAACTGGACATCCGGGTTTGCCAAACATTAAATTACCTACTATAAAACTGCCGATCTTTTCTGGACGCTATCAGGAATGGTTAGAATATCACGACACTTACAAGTCCCTAATACACGACAACACAACAATACCTAAAATTCATAAATTTCATTATTTGCGTAATTCATTAAAGGATACTGCATCATTAATTATTAAATCATTGGAATTCTCTGCAGATAATTATGACGTCGCATGGGATTTGCTTTGCGATCGATATCACAACGATCGAATTCTAGTCAACAACCATATACAAGAATTATTCAAAATACAACCAGTAGTTAAAGAATCTTCACAGGCCTTAAGAAACACAATAGATTCAGTCAATAGAAACTTAAGGGCTCTAAAAACATTACATTTACCTACCGAACACTGGGACATGATCATTATACACATGGTGACTAGCAAGTTGGACCCATCTACAATACGTGACTGGGAAAGAGAACGCAACAGTATCACACGATTACCCACTTTACATGAATTTAATACATTTTTGAAAAATCGTGCTGATATTTTGGAAACTATTGAAGAATCATCAGTACATACAACTCAGCAGCAATCACAACGTAGACACAGCGACATCACCCACAATCGTTCTAAGACATTCCTAGTTAACCAACCAACCAAAAACCAAGCACAATTTAAATGTCCTGTGTGCAAGAATAATCACACTATTTACCAGTGTGTTAAGTTCAAATCAATGCCAATCGAGACGCGTATTGAACGAGTCAAACAATTAAATTTATGCACAAATTGCTTGCGGGCAGGACATGACGAACAGCGTTGCAGGCTTAGTTCCTGCAGGCTGTGCACACAGCGTCATAACACTCTGCTACACAATAGTAATACTGTTCCCAAAGCTTCAATTTCATCAGAAGAGTGTGTCGTTTTACCAACTATGCAGGAACAAAAACAAACAGAATCAAATAGTGTCACACTCTCATCCGTACATCACAATCAGGTACTCTTATCCACTGCTATAATCAATATACAAGATTCGTACGGTCTTACACACAAGGTTCGAGCACTCCTCGACAATGGAAGCACTTCTAGCTTCATCACAGAGACATTGCGAATTAAATTAGGAATACCCAGTTATTCCACTTCGCTATTAGTACAAGGACTAAACAATCAGTCCTCAAAAATTACACAAAGATGTGATGTCACAATATCATCACTCACAAACAGTGGTTACACAACTGACGTCAATTGTTTCATTGTACCACATATCACCCAGTTGATACCTACTTCACAGATTAATTGCAATTCGTTTTCTATTCCCGCACGCATTCACCTCGCAGATCCAAGTTTCTCAACACCGTCTGAGGTACAGATGTTGCTAGGGGCGGATATATTTTGGGATGTCCTCCTGAACAATCATATTGCCCTGGGAAAAAACAAACCAACCTTGATTGAAACAACATTAGGGTGGCTCGTTACAGGTTCTATACAATCATTTAACTCTAAACTTAATACAAATCAAAAACATACAGTCCATTGCCATTTCCTAAACAACAACGAGATCGAAGAGAAATTAAACAAATTTTTCGAACTAGAATCAGTTCCCTCTACTCAACAAATCCATACTAAAGGTGAGAGTGAGTGTGAACAAATATTTACACAAACTACAAAGCGCCACCCAGATGGCAAATTTATTGTTATCATACCATTAAAGGAATCATCAGAATCCTTAGGAGATTCCAAACAGCAAGCTCTAATACGGTTTCAATCATTGGAACGTAAATTTAAACGTAACCCAGAGTTCAAGGAAAAATATACCAATTTTCTTGACGAATATTTAAGTTTAGGTCACATGTCAGAAAACAATACTACACACAAAGATAGCATTTCATACTTTATGCCGCATCACGGTGTCTTACGTGAAGATAGCTCCACTACAAAGTTACGCACCGTCTTTGATTGTTCAGCTACGACAAGCACGGGCAAGTCATTAAACGACATCCAGCATATTGGGCCAACTGTACAGGACGATTTACTTAGTATATTAATCCGATTCCGACAGTATAAGTTTGTAGTAACGTCAGATATTGAAAAGATGTACAGACAAATCTATGTACACAATAGTCAACGATGCTTACAACAAATATTTTGGCGTTCAGATCCCAGTCAGCCAATTAAACAATATAAATTAAACACTGTCACATACGGGATGTCGTCAGCACCGTATCTAGCGACCAGATGTCTAGTCCAGTTGGGCCAAGAATGTACCGATAAGGACGTACGTGAGTCAATTTTGCATGATTTTTATGTAGACGACTATATATCAGGGCATGAGGATGAAAAAACATTAATACAAAGATGTCAGGGCGTCATTAAAATTTTAGAGGGCGCTCATTTCCATTTACGTAAATGGCGGTCCAATAAACCGTCTATCCTGGACGATATTATCGTTAATGAAAACAACAACACAGATAATTCATTAAACCTAAACAAGGTTGATCATGCAAAAACATTAGGGTTGCTCTGGACCTGCAAGAAAGATACATTATTATTTTCAGTCAATAACATTTCAAATAATAAAAACACAAACAAACGCACAATTCTATCCACTATTGCTCAAGTGTTCGATCCACTTGGTTTGATTAATCCTTGCATGTTACAGGCAAAACTTATCCTGCAAACTCTGTGGTCTAAGAATATCACATGGGATGATCAGTTGCCTGCCGAAGTTGAGTCGCAATGGCATAAATTTATTCAGGACTTGCCAGAAATTTCTAAAATTGAAATTCCTCGTAGAGTGTTGTGTGATTTGTACGTTAAGGTAGAATTACACGCTTTTTCCGATGCCTCCATTAAGGCCTTCTCAGCTTGTATATATGTACGCACAGTGTCCGACACTGGAAATGTACAAGTACGGTTGCTACTTGCAAAGAGCAGAGTGGCGCCACTCAAGCCAAAGCTAAAATGTTAGTACAACTTTAGTAATAAACTCTAAAGTGATAGAACTACATGATCAAAGCAAATCTTCTTTGTTATAATTAGTTATATTATACCTAAGTTTTATAATATTTTTTGAAGCGAGTATTTCAATCAGAAGTAGTATCTAGGTATATCAAAGATCTGATCTGATGTCCAAACCAATATCCTGCCCGCTTCCAATATGTAAATGTGCTTACTATATTCACAAGAAGCTTTTATATGTGATTAGTAAACTGAGTGCGTAATTATACTTTTTGTACCTAAAATGGAAAACATAACATTGTCATATACCAATGTATTTTATTTTCAGTAATTATTTGTTCAGGGAAAAGCTATTTATTTTTTACATATTGTGAAGTGTGGGTAGATATACTTTTATTGATTTCTGATAGGTCGTGGGTCGTTGTGTTATTGATCTTTATGTATTTACATATATCATTAACAATTATTTCAGGCTATTATGGGGACTATAAGCCTCATGGACAACAGAGGGTTTTCCATAATCCCTTTGCATTTTTTTTGGATGGAGAATTTTATCCAGTGACTTCTCCCGCCTTGAGTGATTGGAGAGGGAATGTTAGACTCTTACTGACTAAAAACTACCCTGTTAACGCCGAACCGCGCGCCCACGCATCGCCAGGCGGTGCAGGCCGGCGCGCCTGCGCTAATTCATTCCGCCACTGGCCGACCCAACGGTCACACGCACTTGTGCAGCATCGCTCGCCTCGAGAGTTACACGTGTATGGTGTATCATAGATTTAGCTTGCCTAATTAAAGTGATTTATCTCTCCATACACCGTGTCATCATTTTCAACAACCCTCGTCAACAACCCCGTTCCTAATTCTGTTTCGAGGCTTCGTATCAGCATCAGCCGTAACCACAGATATATTAAAGAAGGAGATTATTATTTTAATATTTCTGTGGTCGTAACTGACACTAACCATTTGTTGTGGTCTGATGGCGTTTTGAGGTGCGCGCGAAAAGCGACGCGCCGTACACTCGGGTCTAGTTCTGGTTGGGTTGCGAGTTACCCGTGCTCGGGTTACCGGGGCTTCGGCTCTAGGAGCAGGAAGAGGAACGGAGTGCTTTTTAGTCAATATGAGGCGGGTCTTCACCCGGGCGGGAGAAGTCATAGAATGATTTTCTCCCGCAAAAAAGAGCCCGTGCTTACGGTCTTATTTCTACGCTAGGTTGACGGTTAGAGCTGCTTCCATTGTTTGTGTTTTCACTAACATAGAAGTATCTTCATATATCTTAACTAATCTACTTAGTTTTTTTTACTTTCGTATTTACAGACTGCATTTTACTGAAGGTTTTAACAATGATAATGAAAATCGAACCAAGGGAGTGGCTTTCACTTTAAAGCCATTTCCCAGATGATTATGACCTGACTTTTAGAAGACGTTTTCTATATTGTATCTCCTCAAGTTTTTTTATGGTCCTGGACTGATTCTCGCCATGGACAAAATCTAAAATATTTCAGGTGCAAAAACTTGTTATTTATATCTCTCTAATCACCACGTTCTGATTTCCTGTCATCTGCACCATGGACTGATTAATATATATACACGAAAAAATGTAAGAAGTAGTAAAACTACTCGTACCCTTTAAAACCATAACCGCCATGTAAGTAAACGGTGACCTAGTTAGCGGAGCCTTTATTAGGCAGCGATATAAGAGGTGCATTTCTCTATTCGTGTCAAATGTTATAAAAACAAACCTTGCTGACAGAGGATCCCAGTAGACCAGATCAGAGCTTCAGTGTACCCCATGCGGCGGTCATTCAAGCAGATAGTCGAGGTCACGTGGCTGATTAGTACAATGGCTATTGCGGCGATCAGCACTACCGCCACCACACAGGCGACCAGGCGAATGCTAAACGGAGCCAGGAATATGTCCCTGACTGTTGAAGTCTCTTGCTGGCGAATATAGATGTTACACCTTTTGAAATCAGAAAAAAAAATCAATACATTTACAATACATTTATCTCAAACTAGCTGTTCTATATTAGTGTCTGGCAAATTTTGGATTTTTTAATTAGCCTTCTCCAAGGTTAATTGCTATGATGTGTAACAAACTTCATCAGAATCAATTTAGTTATGTTTATTGTGAAATGGTGTTTATTTTCGTGATTTCAAAAAATAAACAATCCCACAGGGATTTTACCCTATACCTCTATTATCCATTCCCGTGATGTTTCAGTGATTAAAACTCCATTTGAATTCCAATCAAATAGGTACAGCGGTTGAAAACTATCAGGCGTTATTTTCCAAGTCTCAAACTTTCGTTGAACCGAATTTCAATCAAATAAGTTCAATGGAGTAAAATTACTATTCAACCCACAGAACCTAACGGGTAACCGGGGCTCCGACTCGACGTGCAGGAGAAGGAACGGGGTGGTTTTTAGTCAGTAAGAGTCTGACACTCCCTCCCGCCTCACCCAGGTGGGAGAAGCCATTTGATGATTTTCCCCCTTAAAAAAAAACCCACAAATATAGTATTCAACCTCTTTGCATACCTTTATGTTGTATGAATAAAAAATAAATTGTAAATAATCCATTGGCATGAAACTCACATGTTAAAAATATGGCAGATAGCTTAAAACGGTATACTTAATATTATAAATTTGTTTACGTCTGTTTGTTTTCAACAGACTTCAAAAAAAAGGAGGAGGTTCTCAATTTATGTTTGTTACTCGATTACTCGATGAAGCCTGGACCGATTTCAAAAAATCTTTTTTTGTTTGAAAGGGTAGGGTTGTCATTTGGTCCCATTGTCATGAAGTCAAGATCTGATGATGGGATCCCAGTGGAACAGAGGGGAACTTTAAAAAAATATAGGGGCGACTAATAGTAGCTACATTGTGTTTAGGTTTGATTCATTTGCATTGATGAGGACTTTATACCTAGGTGGTATGTTTTGGCTAATAAGGGTCTGATGGTGAAGTAGTACCATAGTTGAGGGAACTCCTCAACGGTTAACAGTAGCTATCTTGTGTTTGGGTTTGATTAATGTGTGTTGATGAGGACTTTACACCTAGGTGTAGTGTGGTTGTAAATAAGGATCTGATGATGAAGTAGTAGATACGATAGTTGAGGGAACTGCTCAACGGCTAACAGTAGTTATCTTGTATTTGGGTTCGATTATATTGTATTGATGAGGACTTTACACCTAGGTGTGGTGTGGCTGTCATTAAATGTCCAAAGATGAAGTAGTAGTTAGTATGATAACTAAGAGAACAAAAGTTAACAGTAGCTACCTGGTGTTTGAGCTTGAATAATATGTATTGATGAAAACTTTTCACCGATGTGGGTTCTACATAATGTAATATAATATTCTAGTACTAAACTAAAAAGTATAGGTAAAATAAAAATAAAAACTTCGTTTAAAAAAACCGACTTCAAAAACTAAAAAAAACAAACGAAAAGTAAAAACTAAAAAGCAAAAAAAACTATATTATTGGTCATACGTCATAGCTTACACACCCACTGATAGGTTAGAAGTCGGTGCCACAAACCCGTAACAAAATATATCTTAGGTAATGGTTACAGGTATAATCTATAATAAAATTGTAAACGGCTTAATGATGTTAGGTATCTATTAAGGTTTTAATGATTAATTTTATGTTAGAAATTGACGTGATTTTTTTACTGAGTTGAGACAGTAGAAATGATTGAGAGTAGCATAGGCGACATTTTGTTTCTTTCTAACCCACCACTTCCCTAAAACAGAGGCTGGCAGTTTGTATGGAGGATTTCGTAATTTTTTAAGAAACCTATAGTTAGTATCATATTTGTAACCAGGAAAACATCGGGTACCAATTTTTTTTATCTTTTGTAAACCTGCCGTCAATACTTTAAAAAATCGCGAGCGAAACCGTGGGCAGAAATCCATGAATAAAATGTATTCAGTTAATTTGAATTCGTTTTTTTTTTAATTTCTGATTCTGATGCAGCTAAATACTATTATTAGTCATTGAAAACAGTTTTCTATTGGCAGTCAAAGGCTTAAGCAACTTGAGGGAGATTTTTGGTAGATTTTTCACACATCGAGTTATATTATCGAAATTTTCAGACGCCTCTTTTTTCTGTTTTATTAAATATAGCCTGTGTTCAGCATCTATAATGTAGGATTCCAACCATAAAAGAATTTTTCAAATCGGCCCGGTAGTTTCGGAGGAGATGCCATTCAAACAAACAAAAAAATCAAATCCTTCCTCTTTATTCTATTAAGTATGAGTATATAAGTAAGTATATATAAGTGTGTATGTACAGATTTGGACCAATACACTTTTAAATAAAAAAAAACAGATGAATATTTGAGCATTTGTATTGAGTCTTGTAAGGCACGGGATAAATACAATAGGCTCCGGGCGGTGGTGAGGCGAGGGCGCAGTGCGGGTGCGGTGCCACTTCTTTTATATATTTTATACATTTATTTAAAGGACAATAGGATTTTGGCCTGTATCGTCGTTGCGTTTACAAGCATACAATTTCACATGCACATGACACCCAGAACGGAAGCAACAATTTGTAGATCCGTTTGGGAATCGAACCCGATATACCTTGCTTGGTAGCCAGTTGCCTTTTATTTTCAGATTTGTATAATATTTTAGTATACCTAAATAGAAGAAGTTGAAATATCAAGGAAATGGCGTCGCGCCCGACTTTTGCAGACGTCAAGCAAGTTTCCAATATTCAGGTTTATTACTTGAAATTCAAATAACGAAGCTCATTATTCTGTTTGTCATATAATCTACATAATCATATTAAATCTTATAAAAACAACTCGTGTTTCATCCATTACTTTATTCACGAGAGCTTTGACCCTGCCCCAACTTCCGGAGGATACATTACTAATAATATAATTATTTTCAACGAAAGCCAAGCCAGCAATATTTTTTTATTTCCAAGGTCGGAATATGTAGAAGTACTATGCCCAAATACTTATATTAGTTATATGGAGAAAACAAAATTTACAAACTTCACCCTATGTGGATAGATGATCAGGGCCGTCTTAGACTACGCTGGGGCCCTTGGGCACACTATAATGCGGAGCCCTTTTGGAACATTTCTTTTTTTTAACCTTACCCCACCCTAAGATTTTTTTTGTATGGTAGGTGCATTTACAAACATCAAGTTCACATACACATGACACTCAGTGTCGAAACTACAATTTGTGGAGCACACAAAGATTTTCTCCATGCGGGAATCAAACCCCTACATGTTGCAGGGCAGCCGGTTGCTGCGTAACGTGTAGCAGGTGTTTGTCCGTCGTAGTAATTATCGATCCTTCTGGGCCCGTGCCTCCTGAGGATGGGGCCCTGGGCACGGGCTCTGAGTGCCCTTATGGTTAAGACTGTTGATGATTACGTCTATAAGAGGGGGAGGGATAGCATTGCGTTGGATGCAAGTAACGAAATTGATCTTCAGTCAGGATTACAATCTGATGCTTCTGCAGTATTCAATGTGGTCTAGTTAAAGAGATGCCCTCTTCTGAATAACTATGATAATCAATACTAACATAGTCTCAGCAATAGGAAAGATGAAGTCCATATCTTGTCGACGAGCTGCGTGAACGGTAACTGGTTCCAAAGCCACGTCTACTGTATGATCCATTAGAGCCCCAAGTAGACCAGTCCAAGTGCCTTCATACGTTCGGAACCCAAGTTTACTGTAGTGCCGGATTGAAGACCTGATAAGAAAAAAACTATAACTAAGTAATTGGTAGATACTTCTTTCTACCTGTAATGAGGACAAGAGGAAATTAAACAATCAAATAATTTTAGTTAAGAGAGAAAATCTTACCAATTGATTAATTACCTACCAACGTGATTTAGATCAGGAAGATTGATTTTTTGCTCAGGAAAAATAATTCATGAGATTTTCAATGTTTTCTTCGAAATTCTCAGTAGTTACCTTTTTTGAGGCAAAAAATCATCAAAATTATAATACTCAATGTTTAGTAATAGACTCGCTTTTAATAAACATAACATAACATCACGCCTTTTATCCTCGAATGGTTAGGCAGTGGTGCACATTACGGAAAGGGTATAATAAGTATAGGGGTAAGTACGTAAACCCATTTTTCACTATTTATGTCATGAGTCATGAGTTATACAGTGGCATAATGTGAAGCTCTGCCTACCCTTTGGGGATAAAAGGCGTGATGATGTTATGTATGTTGTTAATGAACAACGTTAGCATTGTTGTTAAAGTGGTGACTGAAATTTTCCACATACATATAAATCATTACTTGTTTGTTAACATTGAGTAGCTACTCAAACTAATCGTTATCTTTATGAACTTTATATTACGTTCATTTTGTGTAATAGCCACAAAACTGAAATCTATCATAATAAAAATATATCAGACAGACACACTTCATATAGCACTATCTTGTTTTTTTTGAGGGGGAAAATCATCCAATGACTTCTCCCGCCCGGGTGAGGCGGGAGGGAGTGTCAGACTCTTACAGACTAAAAACCACCTCGTTCCTACTACTGCACTTCGAGCCGGAGCCCCGGCAACCCGTTAAGTCTTCCGCGGCTCCGTATTGGCATTAGCCCTCCCGAGCGTACGGCGCGTCGCGTTCCGCGCGCGCCTCAAAGAGCCATCAGACCACCACAGATGGGGCCCAATAGGGCCGATGCCGAATCGGAGTCGCGGAGAACCTAACGGGTAACCGGGGCTCCGGCTCGACTTGCAGGAGAAGGAACGGGGTGGTTTTTAGTTAGTAAGAGTCTGACACTTCCTCCCGCCTCATGCAGGCGGGAGCAGTCATTCGATGATTATCCCCCCTTAAAAAAAAATCGGCATTAGCCCTGTTGATGTTTATATAATTCTCACATTGTCGTTTAAAACATAACAAGATATGTTTAACCCACGTACGTGAGACACAATGTGTTTTCTAGTTTGTCTCATATAAAGATAGAGGTTAATCTCAAAATAAGACTAACTTTTCTGTATCTATGCAATTATCATATAATAACAAAACACTTTGTTATATTGTTCTCAGACCGGAGGCAGAGTTGTCCACTACGACTGTCTTTTATTTTGTCCATAATGACACGCCCACATTTTAATCATAAACCCGGCGGAGTTTACTTATGAAATTAATACCTACTTAAATATAGGTAATTACTTTAAAAGCTTAGTATAAAATCCGACTTCAACCCGCTTTGTTTTTGAAGTCGGTTGATTAATACCTCTATAATAAAAACCTTCTGCTAAGGGTTACACAAACTTTTCTGAAAACGATATACCAAGTATGTTTGTGCGCTACTATATCGCGAATGGATGAACTAATTATCATCCAGTTTTCAGAATAGTATTTGTTACACATAGGAGTAGGTGGATATTTAATCTAAGTTTTAGTACATTAATTAACCGAGTTCAAAAATGACGGGGTTGTAGTTGGTTTTTTTTAAAGTTGTTTATAGAATAATTATTTGAAGTCGGCTACAAAATTTTTAATTGTTCCACCCCTATTAAACCTTGGCAACGACAATTCGAAAACTCCTTAAACAAACGATACTATTTAAAATCAAACTTACGTAGTGTTTAATCGTACTGTAAGAAAATGTAGGATGTCATCCAACATGTCTTCAGCTGACGGGCCATCGTCCTCCAATGATGGGTTTCCATCACCAGAGGAGTTGCATCTTCCTACTACTAGCTCCTCTCCCAAGAAATTCCGAGCTTCAACTGGGTACGGAACTTCGATTCCTGACATGGACTTAACGCGATCCCAATTACCTGAATAATTTAAATCCTTTAATTTTAGTGCCTACGTCTTTTATTATAGTATGGTTTAGTATCTATTTAACTTTGGAATTGTGTAGTAAATATCTTCGTCAATATTTTCAAAGGGTATTAAAAATATAAAGTATAATATAAAAAGTATGCTATACTAAAGATAACTTCTGTAAACAGGCCTTACCTAAAAAACAAGCATAGAGCGTGGAATTGCTGCGTACTTTAAAATACTGTACAACACTAATAACTCTCTCAGTTGGCTCCAGCCTGTGATCGAGGCTCCACTTTCGAGATTGTTCAATCAAAGAGAATTTACTTATATTTGACATGGTAAATATTCTTGAATAATTGAACCTGGTAACTCCTGACTGAAACAGAGGTAAAATACTCCCGTTCTTTTTATACGTATTATTCCTTGTTAGGTTAACAAACCTTGCTGAAGTACGATAATAATTCCTTTCATATTCAGTTTTTATATTCTGTTTGCCATAAACAGTCCGATATTCATTACGATGATAATCTCGATGCATTCGACGTTGGGAATTACTCCTCGATTTGTAAATGAAATTTCCATCGCACAGACCCAAATTGTTTAGTTTCGAAGTGTATTTAGTTTGTGTGAAAGAAATGATAATATTTTGATCAAAGCGGAGCGACGTTGCATTCAGTATTTCATTAATGAAACTGAAATCTCGATTCGACCGCGCGGTTATAAGCCAGTCGTAAGATGACGTATCCATTTGTAGCTGATGTAGCTGAAATATATAACAATTTTAATGTATGTTTAATTAATGTTACTGTAATTTATATTGTTAGTTCATTATAAAAAGTATTTATCATTCATTACTACGCACCTTATTAACGAGTTTCGTCAAGTTCTCAGTGGCATTTCGTTTCAAACGTGGAGATAAGATGATGATCCCGATATTGGCTCGCAAGTGGAAACTGTGCAACAGCGGAGATGTAGACGCCACTCCATTTATACTTAAACACTTCATAAGTCGCACTATAGCCCATAGACAACCTAGTGTAAAGAGAAAATACTTATCTCTATAGATACATCTACTAATGAATAAAAAAAATCCTTTTTTTATAAGTTTCCCTTAATCCAAGCAACGCAAAATTTAGAATTTGTAATCTTGATTTTTCGGAAATGTTGAGATGCGATAAAACAATTTCTAGAAATCCCTATTTCTCGGACTAGGACTAGGACGTTCTAGGAAACTTTAAACTTTTCTGTGTACTGTTAGTTCGAAAACCACTTATGAAAGTGGTTTACGTGTTAGACGAATGATCATAAAACACCATTTTTTGTGCGACTTTGCGACCAAAAAATGCTTGTTCACTGTGCGTGTGAAAAGTGTTCCCAGAATTCATACAAAGGATCGAATGGGAATGAAAGGATCTTTTTAAGGGAAAATGTTACGAATCTTTGTAAACATGGTGTCATTGAATAAAAAGCCATAATTATATCATGACTCCTACTTTTATTGAAAGTTTGAGTGGAAATGAAATCCTTTTTGTGACTTATATTTGAAAGAAATTGGCATTATGCTGTTGTTCATACACTACATTAGTCATGATAATTCAATATTTGCACGATCCGAGAATGGAACACAAGAACAACATTCTGAAATTATTCGTATAGACGTTCTGAAAATTCTTGGAAAGATTACATATTCCTAAGATATGGGGCATGGCCAAGTAGAACTGAAAGTAGAAGTAGTAACACAATCTGGATATAAAGAAACACTGGAAGATTCAATATCTTGTTTGTTATATTTGAATACTAGGTGTTTCCCGCGACTTCGTCCGCGTATAATAATGACTTCTGGCAACCTTTGGAGTTTTTTTATTAGTCATTTTCAAGATTAATTCTAATGGAATGGAACAAATGTCATCAGCATCGATTCAGTTATATTTATTTATTGAGAAATGCTGTTCATTTTGGTGATTTCAAAAAATAGACAGGTATTTTACCCGCATGGCATCCATTCCCGTGAGGTATCAGTGATTAAAACTCCATTAAAATTTGTATTCAGCCTCTTTGCATACCTAAATGTTATATCCTAACAATAAAAAAAAATTTGTTAATCATCCATTGGCATGAAACTTACTTGTCAAAAATACCTGTGTATCTAGTATTATAAATTTGTGTGTGTCTGTTTGTTTTGTTAGAAAATGACGTGATTTTTTTAATGAGTGGATCTCCACTCAACTATCTAGTTGAAAGGATTTAAAGTAGCATAGGCGACATTTTGTTCTTTATAACCGAAGTTTTTATGGAGCATTTTGTAATTTTCAGGAAACCTAAAATTTTTATCATATTTGAGATTTGCAAAACATCGGGCACGAATTCTGTTTTATCTTTTGTATACCTGCCCTCAATACTTTAAAAGAGCGCGAGCGAAAACGTGGTCAGAAGCTTGTCCATGAATAAAATGTCTCGCGAGCTAATAAATAGTTAGTTTCGTAGAATTCATATACGTCCACCAGTCAATAGCAATTGACAGTGGAAGTCCAATAACATAATATATATATGTAGAGGTATATACATACGTACGAGGACATTTCCTATTTTAATCTTCTTCTTATTCTTTAACACTTTATGTACAATTATACAATGGCAGGCTTAATGCCTGAGGACATTCTCTTTTCCTTTTTATAAATCTCGTTAAGAATTTCATTTAAGCAACATTTTCAGATAATTTTAGATCAATGTAGTAGCAGTACCTACGTAAGCACGTACGTAGTGTCGGTACGTTTAATTCTGAATACCTAAGCATACATTTTAGAACAAAATCCTTACATTCGTTTGACTACCTATAGAGCTGCGTAGGTACTGTATGTCTACATTTTTTCTCAATTGTATTCAAATCAATAGATAATAATAGGTATTGACCGAGCCTAACCCTCCAGATTTAATATAGGTACCTATTTACTAAGAATAATTTATAACAGCGATGTTGCTATTTAAATGATGTCAATACATCACACACATAGCAAAAACATTGTCCTTAGTGAAAGTACGTGACAAGGGTCATGCGAAGCAGATTTTGAACAGTGTGTCAGACACGTAGGGTATACAAACGTGAGGCGTGCGCGCAGAGTGTCGTGCGGACGAATCTTGCGCATTGCACAGATGACACTTACAGTTGTGTGCATCAATACGTGAACATTTGTGCTTACAGGATTTGTATAATTAATGTCGTGAGTTCCAGTGTCAATTGTTATATCGGAATATTTTTGTCGGTGTGAGTATTTTTATTTATTTTTGGAATTTTTAAAATATTTCAACTGAATTATGCTTAATAAACACAATTAGGGGAACCTAATTATGTTTATTAGCTTCCGGTGAAAAAGGGAACATTTTATTGAATTTCTTACTTATCAAGATAATGTAATGTCCTACGTATCATTAAACATAGATTCAGATAAGCTATTGACAGTATTATTCTTTTTAAGGGTGATTTATTTAGGGCTTAACGAACCCAAGGGATCATTTGAATAAATTCTTATTATTTAATTAAAGATAATTGAAAATTGATGATTTTCTGAGAAGCCTTTCTTACATAGTTGTGGTATTTGATAATAATGCAACAATAATCCATCATTATCCAAATGCAAATAGTGCATCATTATCCTTGAAGAAGAGATTTATTTATTTTCTTGTATTTATTTGTAATGCTTAGATAAAATGGCGCTAAGTTTAGGAGTTGGTCGTTACGTCATAACGTGCTACAAAATGTGGCACGCTGTGACGTCACACGATATTTCAAATTAATATATCGTCGAAAGTAGTTAATTTTGTGAGAAAAGATACAATACTTGTCTAAAGTTTTAAATTAATTAATGTACCAGACGGCCATTAATCCTAAATTTTATTTTTTATTTTAAAGTCGTATAATAGGGTAGTCCCTATTATACGACTTTTGTTACATGTTGTATACTTCTAACCTTGATTTTTAAATTGTTCATATTGGCATTCGACAATGTGGACCTAATCCACACTAAAAAAAATATTAAACCACGATAAGTACTTACTTTGTCGATAACAGTTGGGGATCGTTTTACCTCAGGGGATCATTTTAATTAGGAAAATTGGATTAACAAATCTATTAATCCAGTTACTAGAAAAATAGATCTCTTTATCCGATAAAAACTGCCTAATTGTAATTTAAAAATGTAATTTAAATTTAAAAATATTAATCCTTAACTCAACATAATGCCTTATTTAAGTATTTATTGCGAATGATATACGATCAGGAATATAATTTTCAACATTAGCTAAATTGAGTTGGATTTTTAATTTGTGATAACATTAAAACAAATGTGTATACTGAATTCGCACAATTTGCTAGTCTGACACAACAACATTTAAAACGTCAACCACTTCTGAGAAATGAACATTCATCACATTTCGCAGAAACGTATTAAGTAGATACTTATTATTTAAGGTCCAACTCAATTATAACTTTGCAAGTATTACAAAATATCAAAATTGACGTAGCCTTTTCCTTATCAAGATGCGTAAAAGTGTCCTTCAACTATCAAACCACAATGTACCTTCTTACTTATTGCACAAGTTTATTGAGTGTGAATCGAAGTTGGTTAAAAATGTAAACATTATAAAAACCGCTACTTGATACTTCTGTTGAGTAATGGATTTGTGTGCATTTGTGTGTACTAGGGATTTTTTTATTTATCAAATGTGCTAATTGAAATTAAAGGTTGTTGTTCTAAAGTGCGAATCGATGGGTACAGTTTTGTCAATGTTGACTTACATTTTTATTGTAAATCAAGTATCCAAATTGGCGCAGGAATGGAAGTAGATAAGATAATAAATTAAATAAGAATAACTTTCTTTATCTCCTCATTGGCCGAGTGGTCGCAAGTGCGACCGGGCAATGGGTCTCGAATTCGAGTTCGATTCCCGGTTCGGGCAAAGTAATACGTACTGGGTTTTATTTATTCTCAGTAGTAGCACGGTGTCTGGAGGTGTTCCCGGTATATGGTAATAAGGATGGGACTCATATCATAAATAGTGAAAAGTGGGTGTCACATTGTAGTACAGTGGCATTAAGTGCTGTATAGTATGCACCCCTGCCTACCTCTTCGGGGATAAATGCGTGATGTTATGTTAATTTTATTTATATTTTTTCTCTGAAAAGTTGTACTAAAACTACCGTAGGTATGGGAAAATTGGGGTTTTTACACTTTTAATCCTGCATATTTTAATTTGAGTTACATAAACCTCAGTAGCCAGTATGACGGCATCATGAGAATTATACCCGGTCAAATAAGATCGTTACCATACTTAATATTATAAACAAACCCCAAGAAGGAAAATAAGTTAATGAGAAATTATCAGAAGTTGCCATAGGCTTATTACTACATAGTATAAAACAAAGTCGCTTTCTCTGTCCTTATGTCCATTTGTATGCTTAAATAAATAAAACTACGCAACGGATTTTGATGCGGTTTTTTTAATAGATAGAGTGATTCAAGAGGAAGGTTTATATGTATAATACATGCATATTGCACGCGTGCGAAGCCGGGGCGGGTCGCTAGTATATAATATAGAAGAAGTACGACAATGATTAATGCAATTTATCAGTATGAACAGCTACCGTATCAACTTCGGTGCGTCCGTGCCGTATCTTCGTGACGTAACAAAAACAACATTCCATCGTTATTAATTGTAACTCTGATCATAATTATATGATTAAGAGGTCGTCTTCACTTATTTAAACCACAGTTATCATTACAAAATCAACAGACTATAGGGGGGGGGGGGGCCTATATATACTTTAAAAGCAAATTGT